CCCTCACTGGGCATTATGTAGCATAAGTAGGAATAGAGAGATGACGAATACAGCATATGTTAAATTAGTTAAGATGGAATCCTTAACAGATACACAGAAGAATATCCTGCAAGTAGAACATCTCTCTTGGACAGCCATATTTCTGCAAACGTCGCAAGCTCAACAAATAGTAGAAAACATCCGCTGAGAGTTGTTTTGCAGGAAAAGAAATATAAACTGCATTTCATCACAGGAACAGGTTTAACAGGTTAACACGATGCTTCCCCATGGTAAAATATTGTTATTTCAGTCTCATTCCAGGCTGGTGTATGTGTAATCTATTTTGGATTCTGTAGCTTCTTTCTGAGGAACATAGAGCCATATCACATCTTTGTCATTTGTCATCGGGCATTGCTGCTTCTAACCAGAGACTGCACTGAAGTCTAGAAATGCTGTACTGCTATTCATAGCTCACTGGAATACTCTTTTGTGCCTTATATTTATCAATGAATGTCCCAAAAGACAGGCAGCTTTCCACAAATGCTGAAAAATCAGTCTAGCACCCTGCAGATTACTATACACATGACGATAGCCTTTGTTAGCATAATGTATTGTAGTGCATTATGTAGTGGGTCTCTGAGGTTTAGTAATCCCTGTCAGCAACCAGAATAAATGGAAATAGTTTCTAGGAGCCTATGAAAAGACTGTTAGTTTTCAAGAACTACTAGCATTCAAACTCACACATGCAGCAACTGAAACAAAAACTTATGAACAGTCTTTAATTGCAATCATTTGTGAAAGGCAAATGCCTGAAGTGTGCTTTCCCTACTGAAACAAAGATTTGTGCATTCTCTCAGGCTTGTCGATAGTAGAAGTTCTTGATATGTAACCTTTTAATATGCCTAGACACTGGATTTGCTAGTAAGAATAGCAAGGTCCCACATGAAAGTAAGCACATCTACTTATAGAGAGCATCTATGCTCTTTGACTTTTTTTTAGTGCAGAACTGCATTTAAAAAGCCCTATAATACCTGTTGCATGCACAGTGTAATGCTGCATCAGATGAAGGCGCACCACAGTTACTGAACTCCTGAAGCTGTAACTGCCAGCAGCTCAGACCATACAGCCCAGGAAGGGAATCTCTTACTCTGCATTTTCCCTGCTCCTTGTACCCTTCCCTGAGGCAACGCACAGCAAGCTTTATCAGGGAGACAGGGGCTTTGATCTGCTCTGGCACAGCTGTGCTGATTGTCTTATGGTGCCCTAAATTACTGACATATTTAGTCAAGTAGTGACAGGACAAGGGGGAACGGCTGTAAGCTGACAGAGGGACATTTGTATTAGACATTAGGAGGAGGTTCTTCACTGTGAGGGTGGTGAGACACTGGCACAGGTCACCCAGAGAAGCTGTGGCTGCCCCATCCCTGGCAGTGTTCAAGGCCAGATTGAAGCAACCTGGCCTAGTCGAAGGTGTCCCTGCCTGTGACAGAAGGGTTGGAACTGGATGGTCTTCAAGGTCCTTTCTATGATTCTTTGAAGTCTTTCAAATTGTACTACATAGATCATATGGAGACATACTACCAAATAGCACAGCCCTTCAGATCAGTTCAAATAACTAAAACACTTCCAGAAATGCTTTAGTATACTGTTATTTACACAGAGATAACACCACCATAATATTACTGTCTTTACTCAGGCCTGTATATTCTCTGTATCATTCCACTGTCGTGTTTAGATCTTAACTTTTTCCTGTATTTTTAAAGCAGTCAACATTGTTCACTTAAAATTCTGGTTAAATGATCAAAGGCTTTAGCAAATTTATCCTTCAATATCGTGCTGCACTTCTACCCTAAGACAGCAGAAAATCAAATCAACTCTTGCTACAGTTTCACAAGCAAGATGCTTACCCCCAAAGCATTAAAACGTCTCAGCAGAGCTGCCAAGTACAATCTTCATTAGTGTGCAAAGCCATTGCAGCCATCTGCAATAGCAACCTGAAGCTGCAGTACCATTATGCACACGTGTTGCTAGTCTGTATGGAAGCTTTTACTGTTTAATCTTCACCTCTTGATTAGATTAAATGAGGGTAGAACTGTAACCTTACCCAAGCCTATTTATTCTATTTTTAATCATGCAGACATGCAGAAAGATGTAAGGGGGAGGGGGAAACAGTGTTTAACTAGAGATAGGAGACATACTGTGGGGAAATGTTTCCTAAAAATCTTGAAATTAGCACCACATACTCCAAGTAAGATCCAGTAGATTGCATCTCTAATTCTGCATGCCACACTCTCTGTTTCACCATACTACTTGTATCATTTCATCTGATATCATCTGCTCTGGTCTCCTTTCTTACCAGTTTTCACCTTCACAAACACTATAGAGACCACTCAGCAACAAAAAAAAGCTAAGACTTCATCCTATTTCCAGTATGCTTTATCTATAATAAAGTCAGCAGCCAAAATATCTTTCCCTCCTCTGCATCATTAGTGGCACTGTTTTCCTGAAGTAGAACTTATTTTTCCCACACACACTACAGTTTGAATTTGTCTTTGAAATAATAGAGAAATGTCCCAAGTTGTAAATGCTCTAAAAATTAAACTGCATAGGGCTTGCATGATGCAAAGCATTCATTTCTTTTCTGGAAGCTTTGCTCCCTGCGGACAATGAGAATATCATCTGCTCATAAGATGACAGAGAGGAATCTCTTCGCAAAATGAAACTGATTATCAACACTGCAACCAAAAAAAGATGGAAACATGCTGAGACAGAAATAGAAGGTTCTTCGGCTGCCATACCTCACCTCCTCAAACTGCTGACTCTTCAGCTTAGTATTTAGTTATCATTCCCCACCAGCTACTGTATAAGAAGTGCTTCTTGAAGCCATTTATCAGCACTGACTCTACTGATCAGGGGGGTGGGGAGTGGGGAAGACTGAAATTTGCAGCAGCTGAGGAGGAATGACTGCATACCACCTGGGTATAAGTCATTACCCCTGATTTGCAAATAGACTTTCCTCCCATAGCAGCTGGATGGAGATTGACTCTGTTCTTATTAAGGCCACAAACTAACTTCAAAGAGAACAAGGTTGAGAACAATGCTTTTGGTCATTTATTTGCTTGCTTGTCTGTCTAACCATATTAGAATACTCTGCCAGAAGGAAAAGACTGCTCTGTTTGCCTTTGCTAGTAGTGGGCAGACTCCACTGTTAGCATAGATACATGGACTCTCGCAGCAGCCCTAACTGTACTGCCCAGTAGGATGCTAATGGCGCTGTGCAGGGTAAGCAGCATAAAGGTCTTTGCTTTTATGAAAGCAGCAAATTGTAATTGAAGAGTGGACGTCTTTGTGTCTTATTTTCTTTATTGGACTTAAAAGAGTGATTTGACAAAATATGCCCTGCTTTGTTGCTGTACGGTTACTTTTTAGTAACTGGATTCTGAACTGGACAACCCCTGTTCTAGATTGTCCCCTCTGCTTCCATTGTACCCTGTACAAGTAATTTGGTAGGGAGAGAGAAGTGTTGGCTAAAGCAGAAAAGAATCCATGCACAGTTCATTTGTCTTCTGCTCTTACCTTCTTCCACTTACTATTCCCTGTATAGGTGATGGAGATATACTGCAAGACAGCATCAAATTAGTCAAGTGAAACATTCAGTTGTGAAAAAAAAAAAAAAAGTCTTCTATTGTAAGAAGCAGAGAAGGAAACTGAAGATGAATCTTTTTGTGGGAAGGTGACATGTCTTGTTCTGACTGCACAGGTGGTCAGGACATGAGACCTTCCATGGGCCACTTGGTCACAAGCCTTGGGAAACTTGTGCATCTGGGTGCTTGTAGGCTAAACAGAAAGGACTATCTGGTGCACAAAGAATGAGAGAGCAATCCCAGCTGTCTTGGAGGTGGTAGGACTTCAAAGGCTAGCTTTAAAAGTTGTCTGAACATGCAGGAATGTGACAACTAGATAAAAAGAGAAAAGCTAGATACTACAATACTAGCTTGTAAGCTAAATTATAAGAGAGTGGTTATAGAGTCTTAATATTTTACAGCCATTGCACGTACTTCACCTATTACATCAGTTTGTAACCTGGCAAGAGGAGTGCCAGAACATTTAAGGTTCCTAGTTTTGCCCTATTCAGTCAGCGCACTTCCCTAACATCTGCTCTACTGGGAGCATAACAGGGAAAAAATACCTTTTTAACTTCAAAACCATGTTAAATAACAAAAGTTATACTTGAAAGGAGGTCAGGTACCCCTTCTGACAGGAAAAACCTTGCAGGGGCTGTCAGCACTGTTCTTCAGTGAGTGCCTTGAAGTGGAGCTGGACCTGCCAGCTGCCAGGAGCCCCCCCTCAGTTCTGACTGGAGCCCTGTGTCAGAACTGACCAAATATTAACATATTCTACTGCTGTACCATTTATTGTGGGGTTGTTATGGATGTTTTCCTTTCATATATGGACTGAACAGCACACTCTTTAATAAAAATAACAACACTTAGTGGATTTGTGGCCTGAGCACACTGTGTCTGCAGGACACCTTTGCCTTGCTAATCAGGTATGTAACATGCCAACAATACTAGTATCAGCAGTGCATTTAAACCCCTAGTCTTAGATTTAGGATGGATCTCTCAGTCTTGGGGTACTTCAAATCTTTAGTTACATTTGCTAGTCTGTTTTGGAATACGGATGTCTTAACCAGGGCAAGTACTATAAAAATCAAGTTTCTTACTGTTTTTGTAACAGTCAGACCATTCAAGTACAACCGTTTGCATGCACCATAAAAACTCTTTCTATATGCATCAGTCTTGGTATGTGAGAACATGAAGAGTAGGAATTGCTTCTGAAATTTAACGTGCCATCTTACGTACACTTGTATACTGTGTATTTGAATGCAAGCTAATTATAAATATGTGTATTTATCATCATTTATCTAAACACCAGTAAACAAATGTTTTAAACCAGGAAGGCCTATCTTTTTTGTGCTTCCCTTCTGAAATATAAACATTGCTTCGTTTTGTTCTTCCTAGCTCTGTTTTGTGATGTTTTGGACACCAAACGTGTCAGAGAAGATTTTAGTTGACATAATCGGAGTTGACTTCGCTTTTGCAGAGCTGTGTGTTGTTCCTTTGCGCATCTTCTCCTTCTTTCCAATTCCAGGTAAAATACAAGAAAATAAGAACTCTGTAACCTCAAAATCAAACCAGATGCGAGGCATGGTCATAGATTCTGGCATGGCTGTACTTAACAAGAGTGGCTAAATGCATACCTAGCATAAGTAACACCATTTTTATTGAAACCAGGAGACCAAGACCTTTTACATTCATAGTCCAGATAAATGTTGCACTAAGAGCATTCTGTCATTAGGCAGATTTCTGACTGTCAAAGTGAAGTCTAAATTCTGTCTGTTGTAGCTGACCAAGAACACACACATGAATGGCAGTAGCGACACGTATGCCAAGACTGAAATTAACTATTTGGAATAGCATCTAGGACCACCTCCCCAGTATCATCACCTCCATTAGTCTCCCGTCAGCTGCCAGACTCAGTGACTTTTTCAGATATCATCAGAGCATAAACAACATAGAATAAAAGTTAATGCCCGAAGTCAAGAGAGAGGCAAGCCTGACAGCAGTAATCAAAATTTTCCTCCTCAGAAATTCTAACTTCCATAATTAAATGCTAAATCATGTAGTATTTTCTGCTTATATGACAAGACATTTTTGTAATAAGGTCAACTACAAACATAAGTACATGTGTCACAGTATGTTAGAGATTGGAAGGGACCTCAAAAGATCATCTAGTCCAATCCCCCTGCCGGAGCTGGAACACCTAGATAAGGTTACACAGGAACGTGTCCAGGCGGGTTTTGAATGTCTCCAGAGAAGGAGACTCCACAACCTCCCTGGCCAGCCTGTTCCAGTGTTCCGTCACCCTCACTGAGAAGAAGTTTCTTCTCAAGTTTAAGTGGAACCTCTTGTGTTCCAGTTTGTACCCATTTCCCCTTGTCCTATCATTGTTTGCCACTGAGAAGAGCCTGGCTCCATCCTCGTGACACTCCCCCTTTATATATTTATATACACTAATAAGGTCACCCCTCAGTCTCCTCTTCTCCAAACTATAGAGACCCAGCTCCCTCAGTCTTTCCTCATAAGGGAGATGCTCCACTCCCTTAATCATCTTAGTTGCCCTGCGCTGGACTCTCTCCAGCAGGTCCCTGTCCTTCTTAAACTGAGGGGCCCAGAACTGGACACAATATTCCAGATGAGGTCTCACCAGGGCTGAGTAGAGGGGAAGGAGGACCTCTCTCGACCTACTAACCACCCCCCTTCTAATACAACCCAGGATGCCATTGGCCTTCTTGGCCACAAGGGCACAGTGTCGGCTCATGGTCACCCTGTCGTCCACTAGGACCCCCAGGTCCCTCTCCCCTACACTGCTCTCTAACAGGTCGTTCCCCAATCTATACTGGAACCTGGGGTTGTTCCTGCCCAGATGCAGGACTCTACACTTTCCCTTGTTATATCTCATCAAGTTATTCCCCGCCCAACTCTCCAGCCTGTCCAGGTCTCTCTGGATGGCAGCACAGCCTTCTGGCGTGTCGGCCACCCCTCCCAGCTTAGTGTCATCAGCAGACTTGCTGATAGTACACTCAATTCCCTCATCTAAATCGTTGATGAATATATTAAATAATACTGGTCCCAGTACCGACCCTTGAGGCACTCCACTAGATACAGGCCTCCAACTAGACTCTGCCCCATAGACTACAGATAGATACCTTTTTTGTGTGCCTAGCTGTTATACCCTGTACCACATAGGAATTAGATAGAAAATTTTCCTTGGTATGATTTCTCTTTAGGAAAGGGGATAGATTTTTTTAGTGAAGAAAACAGAATAGACCATCTAATACATTGGTTGAAGAGAGCAGCTCTTAGGAACGATTGCTGTCTGTAACTCCTTTTTTTTTTTTTTTTTTTCATTTTCAAAACTCAGGATCCTGAAGCAATTTGGATACAAGATCTTCATTTCTAGTAGGGTTTCCCAGCGTGCAAAGTTACCAGACAAGTTTCACCATGGTTATTTCTGAACAGTGCTCTTTGCATGAAAAAGCTTCATGTGAAATGACTGACTTTTTACTACTTCTGCTTCCTTTCTTCCCATTCCTTCTCCTTCCCCTGTTTACAAACAGTGACTGTCAGAGCACACTTGACGGGTTGGCTGATGACTCTGAAGAAGACATTTGTGCTGGCACCCAGCTCAGTGCTGCGGATTATCGTCCTCATCGCTAGTCTCATTGTGCTGCCTTACTTGGGGTAAATCATTATTTTACACAGAGCTGATAGGCTTGCTTTCCTCTTCATTCCTGTTCCCTGTCACTTGATAACTGAATTTGCATAGCTCAGAACATTTTCCCCCAATACTAACTATAATATAAAGCCTAAATAATGTCAATATCTGGAAAAGAAACATTTACAAATTCACAAGTGTGACTGCTCTAGGCAGGCACAATAGTGATGTCCCTTTTGAAAAAATACACAGATGTCAAAGAGGCAGAATCGTGTCCTAAGGGGAATTTATTTCCTAGCTATTAAGTGCACTGTTAATAAAGCTAATGGAAGAATATCTTGTTTATAAGTTAAATAATCTGTTCTACAGCACTCTGTACAAGACGTCAAATTCTTAGTCCATAATTTGATTCAGAATATGGCTCCTTTACTAACAGTGAAGCCATTAAGAAACAAAAAAGAACTTTAAAATACCATTTATTCTCTTTGCCTGTTTGTTATGTCTATGAAAGAAATATTTCTAACAACAAATTGGTTCTATATGGGAAAATATAATGACAAATCATGCATTCTCACATAACCATGCCTACTTTCTTTTTATGGCACCCACAGAGTTCATGGAGCCACTCTTGGAGTAGGATCCCTTCTAGCTGGTTTTGTCGGAGAATCGACCATGGTTGCAATAGCAGCCTGTTACGTCTATCGGAAACAGGTAAGAATAAGACTCTGCAGGATAGAGTGAAAGCAGTTGATGAATATAGTGGATTTTAGTTCAGATTAAGAGTTCACTTTTGAAATGTAGCTCCCCACCATCCCCACTTACTGAACTTGGTTTGCTTCCTGGTGCTTTCTCAAGAATGTGCAACTTAGGAACTCTTTGGGTTGAAATGAAACTGAAAGGTTTCCTCCAGCTGCTAGTGGTCATTTAGGCCATAGGATGAGGCCATGGCACATGCTGTCCTGAAGTTAACCTCCTGCTCCTAGTGGGTATCATGGACAATATGTCCTTACCACCACTTATTTTGTGCTGTAGATCAGCTACTGCAATACAACATAGCATTTTTATGTAGATGTAGGAACTACTCATCCAAGCTTATCATAGGTATCTGTATATGCATGTATGGTTTAGTGGTGGACTTGGTAGTCCTGGGGTAAGGATTGGGCTTGATGATCTTAAAGGTCTTCTTCAATCTAGTTGATTCCATGATTCTATGTGTGTGTATATATATCTATATGTATACTTTTATTTCTTTATAAAACCAGCACTGCTGGAAATGGACAAAAAGTACAGTTGCTTAGGGTTTTTTTGCCATCTAAACAGGTGGCTTAAAACCAGATACACTCCTTCAGCAGTAGAGGGTAGGAGCTTACAAATACTGAAATAAGTGGGATTTTCTCATAGGCATACTTTTACTTATTTCACACACTATGATTCTGTATGTACAAAGCAGTAGTGGTACATGGGTTTCAAGGAATATTTCATTAAATGAAGGAAAACACAGGATAAATGTCAGATGGGTGACGGGGTATATCACACTACCTGCATGTTCTGTCTTTCCAGTTATGTGTTCAAGGCACTGTGTAGGTGTCGTGGTTTAAGCCCAGCCATAACTCAGAACCACACAGCCGCTCTCTTACTCTCCTCCCCGGAGAGGAGAGACTGCTACCACCAATAATAATGATGATAAGGGAAGTAACGAGGGAAGAGAATACAACTGCTCACCACCCGCTGACCGATACCCAGCCCAACCGAGCAGTGATCTAACCCTTCCGGGTAACTGCCCCCAGTTTATATATTGGGCATGACGTGCTGTGGTATGGAATACCTCTTTGGTTAGTTTGGGTCAGGTGTCCTGTCTCTGCTTGCTCCCGGCTTCCTCTCCTCCCTGGCAGAGCATGAGACTCAGAAAGTCCTTGGTCAGAATAAACATTACTGAGCAGCAACTAAAACAATGGTGTTGTCAGCGCTGCTCCCAGGCTGAAAGTCAAAAACACAGCACTGCACCAGCTACTAAGAAGGAGAAAAATGACTGCTACTGCTAAACCCAGGAAAGTATCCACCCCTTATTCCATGCCATTCATGTCATGCTCAGATCCCACATTTTCAATATACCATCAATCTTATATATATTACATATATATACATCCACACAGAGAAAGAGAGAGAGAGAGAGATCATTCCGCAGTGCACGGACCAATCCCTGTAAAGCTGCTGAGTCCATCCCATCCATGATGTTGGGCTCCATCTCTTGTAACAGTCTTTCAGAGCAGAAGAGAGAATGTGATGTAGTCAATCTGCCAGGCCTCCCCATATTTGTACTTCAGCCATTGTCCTCCATACCAAAGAGGCTTTAACTGTTTGGCTTGCTTAATTGCAGAACAAGTTTCACACTCGTTAATAACATGGGCAATAGTGTCCATTGCTAAGTCCACCCCTCAATCATGAGTCCATCTGTATGTTGCATCTCTGCCCTGATGGCCTGAAGTGTCATGGGACCACCAGGCTCAAAAAAATTCACCCTTCCCTTCAGCAGTTTCTGCAACTTGCTGGGGACTCCATACAGCTGCCTTCCATCTCCGATGATTCTAAAGCACTGGAGGGGCCCAGTGGACTAGATACTTGCCCATACTGTCCCACACACCCTGCCACTCAGGAGTGTTCAGCCTTTGGGAAAATCTCCTGGTCCTCCTATATCGTCGTCTAATCCTAGACAAGACTCAAACCCAACTCTGCTTAACTTTCGAGATCAGACAAAATGGTCATGGGTAAAACACACTCTGTGTGTGTGCCAACATGCTGATCCCCATCACAATCAGCAGGCAGGTCCCAAGGGTACCCAAAGGCCATTCAAAACCTTCAGAACTCTCAAATGGCGCTGCTGTACTTGTCACTGGGGTTGGTGTAGCTGCTGTGCTTGGAGCTGGGGTTGTTGTAGCTGCTGTGCTTAGAGTTGGCATAGCTGCATTATCTGTTGTAGTCAGAGTTTGAGTAGCTGCTGTACTTTTCACTAGGGTGTGTGAGAATGTCTCCCTCATAGGCTGACCACCCGAGGAGGGGAAAAAAGATGTGTAATTGCTAAACACTTCTATTATATACCTCCCAAAGTGTAGAGGTGGCAACCACACTGGGAATGCAAGTCAGATCAGTTTCATGATCAATGAGTCTATTGTATTATGTCATTACCATAAAGTACAGTGAAACAAGAACCTTAGCCCAAGTCCCCCAACAGATAAACACTAGAACAGCAAATACTGGATGTAAGTAAGGTACGACATGCTGAAACTCCAAGATCAAGAGCAACAACTTGGAGAGCCAATAAATCAGCATTGTGATGAGTGACTATTAATCCAAACCAATAAATGCTTATCACAAATATGATTAGACACACTCTGGTCAGATCTATTGTTATCTCAACCCTTCGTGCCCCACGTTGGGCGCCAAAAAGAACTGTCATGGTTAAGCCCAGTAGGGTACCAGGTCCAGCTCCAAGCAGAAATGGCATGGTGTATACAGCATTCCATAGTGCAGAAGGACTCCGTGGCTGGGAGCAGAAAATATAACCTATGCATTTACTTTTTTTCTTTTTTTAATTAGACTTCATACTAAGGGCTAAGTTAAGATGCCCATTGGTTCTGTTCTTAGCAAAAATGTACAGAAGATGGAATATCTAAAAGCTTTGTGTTGGAACAAACTAAACCCAGTTTTGATATGCATTAACAGTGTGCAGGCCATTAAGAGTGGGCCTGCACCCTGTTAATGTGTACAAAGTGTACACAGTTCATAAGAAAATAGAAGTAGTTGATCTCTGTCATGATTAGTCTGTCGTGCTCTTCCTGAGAACCAAAAAGTAAAACCTGTAGACACTGAAATGGCTGTTCTTGGCCTATGGTTGCACAACAACCTCCTCGTCTCTTGATTCGGTAGTAGCTCATAGTGTATTTCTGGCCAGGGACATGATGCTTAATTTTTTGCGGTGATGAGTGCAGGTAGTAGTAATAATAACTGTACCAACCTGATTTAATCCCTTAACAGAATTAGTATGTAGTTGACAGTATTGTCTCAACAACCAGCATGACAGTGGCAGAGCAAACTGGTACCTGTATACAACTTGTTTTCACCTGCAGTGGTAATAAGTGGGCAGTGTTTCAGAGCTGCAAATCAAGTGCTGTGTAGACAGCTCTGAAATTTTGAATCTCTGATATGCCCAACTCAGCTGAATCAATTATACCTGGGGGGGAATTTTTGTCAGCTATACAAGTGTTTTCTGTAAAACTAGTCAGCCTGCTGAGAAACGGGTAATAAGGAACAGATGCTTCAACTTGTTTTGTAGTGGAGCTGAATGCTTCTTAGCTTGACTAATCCAGGACATCCTGGATGAATCATAGGACTTTTGAATGCCCTCCTGCTCCTGCTAGCCAAAAATACTCTAATATTCCTTGGCCTTGGTAGGGTGGGGATCACAGTGGATCAGCAATACCAAGAAAAGCCAGAGTGCTCACATCTTGTAAAATTCCTGAAGTTTCGACATTTGAGAAAACAGGTTGGCACCTCTGTCTCCCCCCTAGCGCAGCTTATCTTCTCTCATGTTTTTATTTTGTTTTATTTTGTTTTATTTTAATTTTAATAAAAAGTCTGTGATGTAAAAGATTCCAGATGCTGTCTTCCCTCTAGTCAGGCTGAAGCCTGTTTTGGCTGTCATTTAGCATAAGAAATGCCTCTGTTACTGCATTTATGTTAGAAAGGAGAAAGCTGAGCCCCAAAAGTTTATGGAAACCTTCTAAGTTAGCCAAGTTATTAGTGACAAGCCACAACTATGACACAAATATTCTAGCTTTTAATAACATACTATAAAAAAAAAAATCATTATTACCACCTCACTTCTCCCAGTGCCTAAAGTCCATAGGACTGTGTTCATGCACAACTTACTGATAGGTTTCTGAATGCTTGTTTCAATCCAGAAAAAGAAGCGGAATGAGAATGAAACAGCTACAGAAGGTGAAGACTCTGCAATGACCGACATGCCTCACACAGAGGAAATGACAGACATCGTAGAAATGAGAGAAGAGAATGAATAATAAATGGGATGCAATTGTTCTCTGCAGGGACGATTGGAGTGACACTTCAGCATCTTGTCGTCTCTCATACTTTTTGTTTGTTTGTTTTTATTTTTGTAATAAAGAGGCCTTGATTTAAAAGGTTTCAGATAAATTCTCTAGCATACTGAGTATGCTGTCACTGATGAGGGACCTAAAAAGAGGTCTTTGCTTTTTCTCTTTTTTTCCAATTGAATCTCTTTTCTCACTCCATGCAACCATAAAAGATACAATTGCATCACTGTAGAGTCTTCCTTATGCACCCATCTTCTCTGGACAATCTGCATTTGTCAACCAAAGCCCTGCTTTCTATGCATGTGTGCGTGTGCGTGCATGCGCTTGCACGCTCGCACACACACACATGCCACTGGCTCAGTGCTACTGCCAGAATCCTGCTCCCTCCCCTCTTTGCTTTTCCTTCCTTTTCTTTATGAGAAATGCAAAGGAAAAGAAGTTTGGAATACAGAGCTTTATTTTACTTGCTTGAAAATGACTTTGCTACATAAACTAATATACTATGGTAAACTATATCTTTTTGTTTGGCTTCATCACTAGAGCTTATACTGCACAGGGTACAAGACAGGGAGGAACATGTAAGTCTCCACATACAAAGTGGAGAAAACCGGGTTTCTTTTCTCATGTTAAAAGTGTGTGGATGTGTATATACACACACAGGTACATAAACAGAGACATACATATATATATATTTATATATATGTATATGCATACAATAAATAAAATGCACACAGGACAATAACTCTATTTAGCTTTCGTTCCATCAGAAAGGTAGTAGTCTTTTGACAAAGGTAGACATTTAATTCAGAATTTTCTTGAATCATTAAGCCCCCCTTTACATATAATTTTCTTTAGAAAAAAAGACATGCACTTTCCTCTTGTGAAGAGGGTGATGGCAACTGATAGACTTTGACTGTATTTGAATTAAAAAGAAATAAATGTTGACAAGCTTTACCAAAGTTCTTGTCCACTGATTTAACTTTAATGTTGAAAGGTTGATTTGCTCTACTTATTTCTGGTGCCTATATATTTAAAAAGAAAGATCAGATAGCGTTTGCAGGATACCATGGTATGTCACGTGACTACACATAGCTCCATGAAAATTTTTATATAGAGATGTACACGTACTCACACTGTGTTTATGTACATCTACTTTACACACACACATCTATGTATGCTTTGCTATTATCTGTTTAACTATGCAGTAGATCAGAATCTGTATGGTGAAGCTCAAGTACTGATGGTCCTACAGGTCATTAATTAGGGACTGTGATCATGTTAGTTCTCAAGGCAAGAGTTGTGAAAGTGGGAAGCTGCTCATATCAGTCAGCAAGTGCTGTACTTGGGGAAGACGGCAGGCGCTGTGCGGTTGTGGTTGAAGTGGGCCTTAAATCACAGAGCATGAAGTTGGGTGGGTGACTTGTATCAGGTAGAAGTGAAACGTATATAAAATGTGACCAGACCAGAGAGGGTTTGGGTGCCACGGATAATGGCTGCAGCAGCAGCTTATATTTCTGTGTACTTCTGCGTTTGGCTGCGGGGCAGCGCTCGTTTCTGGTTTGTAGTAGCTCGGGTTCTTTCAGATTTAATCATGCCACAGTCTGGAAATTGTTATCCTCCAGGCTATATCCATAAATCAGTTAATTTAAACCTTATTTAGTAAAAATATATTTTTCTAAGTTGTGAAAATTATTATTTAATTGTGGACAAATTCCATTTCTAGATTTATTTGCCAGGTAGTCCCAGAACTCAGAGAACGGATCAAAACTAAACATTACTTTAAATGTTATATCAATATATGTGTATGTGGACATACACATGTGTATAAATATATATATTGTATATTATGTACATTTATTTTAAGCTACAATACATTTCCTATTTTTCGAAGTTCAGCTAAAAACATCTCTAAAAAAGCCACAGAGTTGGCTACTTAACGGCCATCCAGTTACAGCCATCATGACAGGCATTGTAACAATGAACTTTACATTTTATTGTAAACATTTGTACCGGTTTGTTACATGTACAAATGCAATAAGGAAAACAAGTAGAAATTAGTATGTTGAATGACAGATTTGCAAAATCAGTTCACAGTTAATGAGCAGTGACACTAGGAGGGTAAGAGTAAATCCAGTAGCCACATGTTTTCTGTGCCACCACAAGTTTGTTCTTGTTTCTGACAATGATTTAAAAAAAAAAAGATTAAAAAATATGACTCAGACAAATTAACTTTGTGCAGTATGTATACTATACACATTCATGAACACAGGCTCTCTCAAACAGTCCTATGTATATAATGTGTATATAGACTGTTACAGACACAGTGGCCATTTGAGTCTTCTCTATTCAAGTGGTTTTGATTTCTCCGGTATGTTTGTACCCAAGTCCACAAGATGCAGTTTTTTTCAGGAGCTGTAGAGATAAAGCAAGAAACTATTTTTGTGTAATATTTCTTGACTAAAATTCAAATGGCAGTATTTTTGAAGAATTTTGAGCATTACTGATGTAGTTTCAAGGTAATAATTACACCAAAAAGTAAAACTTCAGAAAGCAAATTACGTGAAATTTTTGCTTTAGATAGAAGATGAACAAATACAACAAACTGAAGTATTGGTCATACAGGGCTAAACTAATGGTATTGCAAAAGATACATTTTCAGTTGTATGGTTAACCCTTAATAGTCTTTTATTTTGCAAGATACTGAATGAGCACAGGAGTGGTAGGATTTGGGCAAGAACTCCAGCAGTGACATAAGCATGCGTGCATTGCATCTTTTTCTGCTTCCTGCAGGTCATTTATTTCTTTACATTGCTCTGCTGGATTAACAGAACATGCTGACATTTCCATGATGAGCAAGTCCAAAGCAGCCCCTTGTGCTAGGCTGGGCTGGATGCCCACTGCATGGGCAGGCAGGGTGATCGTGTCCCCTGCTGCCCCTGGCTCTGCTTTGGGGTACTGTTGCCAGGAGCTGCAGTGACCACCTGAAACCTCAGTGCTCCAGCTCTCAGTCTGTGGCAAATTCAGCTTGGCTGGTTAAACAGCCACTCTGATGAGTTACTGGCTGGGAAAGGGCAGCTGATAACTCGGCTAGAAGCTCCAGTCAGGCTGTCACTGGTTCTAGGAACTCCGTCAGGCAGCTGCTGGTGTGCGCGCTGTCCTGTACCTCTTCTTTCCCAAAAGGACTCTTCTGAGTTCTAATAAAATGACTCTCTTGTGTTACTGCTTATGAAATGGCTATCTCTATGATAAATATTTTACAATAGAAACCTATTAAGTTTCTGTGTTGAAGAGTCAGAGCTCAGTCATCTCAGTGAACTCACATGAAGACTCGGCCTTTCCAGACTTTCTTGAGAATTACTGAATTGCACAATTGAAGGTACAATAAAAAGAGGAACAAAGCTGATCTGCATCCTACACCTTAAATTTCAGAACAGCTCACACAGCTGGAAATAAGAGCAGAACTCTCTTAAGAACGCTCATAAACTGTGGATTAATGTTCCTTGGCTTTTAATATGTACATAAAATTGTGTTAACTTGTCTTGAGTTTTCCTTTTGCAGAATTAAGAGGAAACACTGGGGTTTATTCCCCCCTCACTTCCCTAAGCAGACCTCTCATGCTTACCAAGCAGTGGACTTGATAGAAAAAGCTCTGCATTTCCCAGCCAGTGTTTGAGGCCATTTGGGCACACCAGCAGGTTCCCAGGCATCCCCTGCCACAGCCATTCCAGGCAGGAGCACTCAGTTGCCTGCTTGTTAGATAGAGCCACCCTGAGTGAGAGGATCGGGTGAGTAATAGAGAAGTTTCTTGTCTTCTACTCATTTTGCTACTAAATATTTCCTTTGAGCAGGAGAGATTTATTTCTGGCTCTTGCTCGGTGTTCTGCCGAATCTGCAGCCAGAGAGGGAGCAGCTCAAGACAGAGGGCAAGCTGATGAATGCAGCTGATTCAGGGCAGGCCATGAACAGAAACCTTCTGAAGGCCAGAGTGCCTTCTTTTGTGGGATGGTGCCTTGTGCTTAAACAGAAGGGAGAAAAAATGCTTTCAGGTCCAGGCGCCAGAGTTGCTGGGCATAGTTTGGTGTTGGACTGCAAAGTGGCAACAGGAACAGGGCATCCTGTGGCTCCAGCATCCCAGCCCCACTGCCAGCATCACTGGTGAAATGCAAGACAGTGAAGGGGATGGCAAGGTGGCAGTACCAGCTCCGTCTCTCACTGAGGTTTTGTGGTTGTGCTGTGATCAGCACAGATTTGAGTACAGATGGGTGTTACCTGGGTATAGTTTCAATAGCCATTAGTGTATTGGAAAGCCATTCATGTGTATAGGGAGGTGTATATGAGGGTGTTACATGGGCATTTTAATTACAGCATTTATATGGTTCATTGGCTCAAGGATTCAGATCTAAACATTCTCTTAATGTGGGACTAATACTAAGCCATTTCTAAGAAAATTTGCAATTTAAAGCTACATAAAGGCCTAAATAAAACACCCTTTCAGAAGACCTTTATACCAGTAGCTAAAGCATGGTTTATATCAGTAAGCTGGAATGGGAGAGAAAAAGGACATGTTGCAGAGCTTATGGGTGTTGTATATCACAGAGCATGGCGTGGAGAGGTGTGAACCAGAGGGCAGAGGTGTTCCTCACCTTTCAGCTGCCCTGGAGAGGGACTGAAGGGTGAAGAGCTGTGCATCCATGAGATACCACCTCTAAGTATTTTGGTTTCTGAGTGGAGGAGCCATCAGAGAGAAGAGTATGAAACATCTTAGAAGATTATTCAAGCAGAAATAAATTGGCATGCAGGTTTTATAACATGCAGAAAAGAGGCACTACGTAGCTTGTGTTTCTGAGTAACTGGCAGAGCTGCATTGGAAAAATGTCACATAAATATCACTTAAACGCAAGACAAAATTATCTCAGTTTTGGTATGAAACTGTCATTTCCCAAATACCAGCTTAACCATAAAATGTTAAGATTCCCTTCCCTTGTTCATGTTTGCTTTTTACTAGAATTCAAGTGCAGAATACTGTATTTTTTTAAGGGAGTAAGCTCCTGTGGAGAGGGGGTGCAGTGCAGAGCAGCCTGGGGAGGGCTTGTGGAAGATCCCCAGTGGGAAGAGGAGCTCCACATTTATTCTGCACCCTGCAACACACTATGTTTAGCTGCAGCCTGACAGTGTCCTGAAAGGAGGCAGAACTGTCAGCTTAGCAGGAAACTTGGTTCCAGCATGGCCCTGACCTGTAGCAGCAGTGCAGAGCAGCCGGGGGGTGCAGGGGAGCCCTGGCTCCCTGCTTCAGTTTGGACAGCTTGCATAGGTATGCTTTGGAGAGCCAAGTTCAGTTGTCAGTGCATAGATGCACTCCTCAGCAAAACCATTGCCAGACTCCTCAGTAATTGGCACCTTCTTAACAAAAAAGCCAAAGACAAAATTTGGGGACAGAGAAATCAAGCTTTAAGCTTGGCTTGGAGTGCATACTTGCACAGAAGGGCATTTGGCTGCAGCTTATGCAAGTTAATTGTACTTTTAGATAGTGAGCTTCAGTCAGCATTTCATCATCAAGATACCCACTCTATCTCAGTAAAACAGGAGAACTGGTTTATAATTTTAGGTGTTCTTTTGTCTTTGTATCCCTGAGGAGATAGTTTTCCTTAGTATTACCAAGCCTGTCAGTGCTCAGATCAATTTATTAGTCTTACCTCATCCTTATCTTCTGTCATTCCTAGTTCAGCATCTTCAGATGTTTCCTTATTTTCTTCAGAAGGCTCCTGCTAGGCTTACTTTGTCTATTGGCATTTTGAAAAGGAAAACATAATTGTCATGCTGACTGAATGTCGAGTAGTGCTGTGATTAAAAAGTAGCTTACAACAAAACTCTTATTTGATGGACTGGTTTTTGCTCATCTTTTTGCTAAGGTGAAAAGGAGAGTCGCGAAGTAGCAGGAATTGCTGGGAGGCTATTTAAAAATAAGAATGAAAATAGTTAAAGTTCATTACTTAACTCCAGCCACTTTGTGACTTTCCAAGGATCCATAAGACCACAACGCAGGCTTTTCCAGCAAAGTTAGTACTGCATCCCCAGAGCAGCACAGAACAGTTTGAAGCACTGAGCAACACAAGACTTCATGTATTTCACAACTAAATGTATAGCTTAATGAGCTGGAGAGCCTGATTAACAGGGACAATCCATTAAGTTTCAGATTCAGCTGGGCATGAGCAGCCTGATCCATTGTCTAAGGTGGCCCTGCTTTGGGTATAGATGACTGCCTGCAGTCCCCTTGTGACCTAAATTGTTCTCTGATTCAATCAAGAACCTAGAGAGGTCCCTTCCTCTTAAGGGCCTTAAAGTATGCTTGCCTTTTTTAGGCTTGCAGTTAGGGTTGAGAGACAGTGCCTACTAGGGCTCAACAATGCAGATATCTGAGCAAAAATCTGAGCTGCGCAGATTCTTTTGCTGATGACAAACCTTTCTTATTGCAGAGCCAGCTGTAGAGTACCCTCCCACCCTCTGGGAACCCACAAGGAGGGCAAAGCAAAAATAAGCTATAGTATCTGCAGATGAAATATGTGAACACTGTACTACTGCACTTTTCCAATTAACTCTCTAAGCAAAACCACCTGGAACTAGCAAGCAATTGCATCTATTACCTGCTTCCTCCCATCTCCATGTGCATCATTCAGCATTAAAAAAAGATCTACCCTTTCTGATAGCTCCCTTTATAATCAATGTAATGCAAAGTAAAGACTTGCATTTATGTAATAAAACAGCTTGGCCTATCTACAAATGAGAGCATATAATTCCCCTCTTAGGAAAGGATGTATTTTAAAATTGGAACAACAGTTTTATCCATATTTCCACAAACACGCAACAAAGAGCAAAGGAAAAAAAAAAAAAAAGCAAACTGTAAAAAAAAAATCATTTCAATTGCATTAACTTTTAATGAGAATAATGCCTACTGGAAAGTAAAGTACATATACACATGCAGAAAACAGCAGAGCCTGGAACTGACATGCATTGCTCAACTTTGTATTTTGCTCTGTGAAGCAGCACTAATGTAACTTTGCTTTTATTTGTCCTATTACTATAAACAAAAAATCCTTCCTGAGCTATAATGAAACAGTTGCAAGGCTACAGGCTATAAGTTTATGGCTACTTAGATCACGTTATTCTCTCTGCAGAATTTGCAAGCACCACAAAATTGCAAAAACAAAACCTCCAAAGAAGCTGAAGGTACATATGCATTTTTGTTCATGACATACCCTTACTTATGACCATCAGTAAGCTTTTAAAAATGAATCTAATCACTCTCTAACATAGTTCAAAGTGCACTTCACTTACTTTAGGTTTAATAAAAATCTACCTGCAATATCTTGTATATTTTTCAAAAGGAAACGCACAAGATGCAAAATTTAACCTGTGTTGTTAAACTGGGCAGAAACCCTACCACCATCACAAAGGCAGTCAAGCTTAGATCATCTCAGGTTTTGATGTTTCAGAACACTGCTGTCACTGCTTTGTTATTTTAAATAAGCTGTCGGTGTTGCTGCCTCCACCTTTGTTTCTGGAAGCCAGGAACCTGTGGAGCGTTTGTGGTAAGAGACAGGCATAGCTGGACAACCCCAGAGTTCATCTGCTGAAAGAGAGAGTGGTTTGAGGCAGAAAGCACAGAGCTCCTTTAGAAATGTGTGGTGTGATGGCTTGTCATTCCTCCTCTGGGCATGAGCTAGTGGCAGTGATCCTTCTCAGAGCTGGCTGTTGGTAGGAGGGGGGGAAATAGATGTTGCCCATTGCTGGTGGACTTGAAGTTGGGATTACAGGCAGTGTTTGGAGCCCTCTGTGCTGCTTTTGTTATTTGTTCTGCAATGCTGGCAGAGTATGTTGCTACCACAGGCCACAGAAATCCAAACTGGAGGCCAAGAACTCAATTCTGCATAGTGGAATGGCTGAAATGTGTTTAATGATGCTTGGGCAGCACAGCCTCAAGCCTTGCTTCATCTGTATTGGACAGAAAGTTTTTGGGAGTCCCTGAGGAGGAGCACATGTGAGAAAGTGAGCGTGGAGCAGTGAGTATGTATATGTAGAGAGAGAAAGAGAGGCACAAATGAAGGAGTTGAAGTGTCTTTTGCAATTCCCCCACACTGCATTACCCTGCTGGAACCATACCAGTGCTTAGAGAGAACTGTAACCCCTATATTGATCATCTTCACTGAAAGGTTCACTGGCCTTTAAAGGTTATTGGGCAGTGTTACTAGATACTAGTTACTAGGTAAAGACGAACTTTATAGTGCTAGAAGCACAAAAGACGGCAAACTTTGTCATGCCTTTTGCAATGGAGAAGCAAGCTTCACATACCCTGCTCTTTCCACCTTTGCATACTTAAGCAGGGCCAGCCACAAGGTCACTCTAGAAACCACAAAGATTGAGCAAAAACTGAAGGGCAGAGTAGAAAATGAGGACTATTTGGATTGTTTGTCTTCACAGGAGGAAATCATCATGGAGGAGAACTAAATTGCATAGAGGCAACCTCCAGAAAGTCTCAGTCATCTCAAAGGAGATAGAGTTTCTGAACCAAGGTTCAAGTTAGCTTTGACCACGTCATGTGAGGTCAGATAGCAACATTTGTAGAGTTATACTACAATGTATATTAGTGAATTCTGTTCTTTTAGCAAGAGGTGCTAAAATAGAATTTGCTAATGGTGGTGAGACGCTTGGATACTACAGGGAACAGCACCACAGTAATGCCTAAAAATACAGAATTAATATTTGCATGTTCTAATTGTGCCTTTGGGTTCTCTAAAATTGACTTGCTTTTAGTTTCATGAAAATACTTTTAAAATTGAGAGCAGGGACTAGTGTCTGGATGCAGCATCCTAAAAAAGGGCAGCCCAAAGTCTGATAACTCTTGCTTGGGAAAGCGTGGAAGGGACATTGGGGCGGGGCTTGTCTTTTCCTGACCTGGTCCTCTGACCATGGCATATTCTGCAGGACAATATCTTGTCATGTTCTCAGCAGGCTTACAACACTGAAAGAAGCAAGAGCAGTAGCTGGCTACACTTTAAGGCATGCTGCAGTTGCATTGGGATTAAAGTAAATTCCCTAAATACCTTTCTGGAGAGAAAAAGGCCCACTTTTTTCCAATTAATTTCTGTAATTTGAAGGCAAATCTGAAAACCAGGCAAATGCATATTTCACCTGAGAGGTATCATTTGGTTTTCATTTCTTTCAGAATATCTTTCAGTGTCAGATTCAGTTTCTTTCTTTCAGGATAAAGCTATCCTTATGCAAAGCAGTGTGCCTAATAGCTATCCTCAACTACTTAAACAAGTCAATTTTGCAAGGACTGTAGGTGTCAAGCCAGAGCACCATTTGGGACTACAGTACAGGGATCCTAGATTTTAAATGAAATGTTACCTCATGCATCATTTTCTGTCATACTTGTAGAATTCCAATTGATTTCTTTCAAAATAAATGTTGCTTTCTGTAATTTGTACACATGCTAAAGCTACTGGTTTGTTTTTTAAAGGCCATTTTGCTTTGCTTTTAACATGTGTTTTCTTTAAACTCTAAAAAAAACAATGAAGGTTAAAACTTTGTACATTTTTAAAATTACTGGTAAGGTCAAAAGTATAAAAGTACATGTTGCATTAAAATTGAGTGCTGTTTATGTATTTACAGGGATGTATGTTTTTGCATTGTTAAAAAGAATGATCTATGCTTTCTTTGGTGGGGATCTGTGCTCCAATATTGTCCAATAGCTTTCATACTCTAATTACTTTAAGTAAAGTTCTAACAATTTGCATATGATTAACGATTCTGATTGTTTCTGTTTTATTAATTCTGATAATCTGACGTGATCTAAAGTCCTCATTTAGGACAAGCAAAATATACCTCCTGGTGAGAAATCAATCCAATAGGCAAATTGGGTTTGAATTATGAGCATGATGCTGCCAACCGTCATAACTTGAAGTTAATGAAATCCAAGGGTATCCATAAAATGATGCAAGACAAGTGCGCTATTTCTACAATGCCTCCAAGTGTTGTTGATATCAGAATACCATGGTCAGAATACTTTTTCCACACCAACTCTAAAAGTTTTAGCATTCCTGTTAAATAGACACTTGGTATTTAAAAGGAGATTGTTATTTTCATCAGGCCAGGGCAAACTCAAATGTCATGAGAAGATGCTTCATCCATCCATCTGGCAAGCCACCAAAGCTGTTCTTATGAAGCTGAGAACATTCTTTAACCTGGGTACTCACTCATGACTGAATATGAACCACTCAGACTCAGCAAGAAGGCTGAATATGGGACCACAGCCTTACACATCTCTCCTGAAACACTTGAGCAGCCACTGCTTTTAAAAAGGACCTAGAAAGGTATGATGGTAGGGCTTTGCTCATACCTGTGACTGACATCCCCCAGACTCTGCTGCCTCACCTCTCCTCACGCTGGACCACTGCAGAGATCCAGTTGATGGCCTCAGAGAGTACAGCTTCTCCAGCCCATAAAATGACTGTCTCACAGACTATTTTGTATTTTTAAGTAGCCTGCAATCTCCAGCATCATGTACCCCTAAAGCTTGGCCTGCCCTAAGGTCCCATGTACCTTGTGAGCCCTTTAAGTCCTACCCACCTCACCTTGTTTCCTCTTCTTGGGGCTCCCTGTGTACCCTCTCATTCCCCTGCCATCTGTGCCTACATGCCCCATGCAGCACAGGGCTGGTAGTCCCCTGGCCTCCACAGGGTGTACCCCGTGATGGGGCTGGGAACAGCAGATCTGTTTCTCCTGGCCCTCTGTGGGGCTGTCCACTTGGACAGGGCCTTCAGAGACCCCTGAACTGGCTGTGACTGTTGCCATGTCCAGCTCCCCGTAAGCGCTCTCCAGGCACAGCTGGAGAAAATATCCGCTCGTGTCTCATCACATTCCTGCTGGAGACCAGGAATGCCGAGAAGGCCGAGAATATTATTAGGATGTCAGCAAACAGTAACTCCCTTAGCTGCTCGCAGGCGCACACTCGTTCGCTGGTGGCACTCACCGCTGCCTCCCCATGGCCACTTGCACAGAGTGTGGCCTGACCTTGTCTGGCTCCCTCTGCCCAGGTCGCTGGCCTGGTGGGAGGCCATGCTGTGGAAAACAGGGAAAAAGAACTGGGGGGTGTCAGATAGGGCTCAGGAAAAGATCTGACTCTGTGCCTGCTGTTCTTGGGTGCCTGCCATGAGGGCAAGTGGGCCAACAGGTTGGAAGGCCAGGGCCTGCATGAGGATTACTGCCATGGTGTTTCATTTGAGGAAACTGAGAACGGCCAGAGTCGCATGAGGAGAGTCTGACTTTCTCAAACTAAGCCTTCTCTTTCAGGGGCCGCAAAGGCTTTGTTTCTCTCTCCCTAAACAATAAAGGGTCAGACTGCAAGCAGTTAAATGCAAGACATGCACTATGATGGCAAATCACATTATTCACATTCTTTGCTTGTAGTCTTGAAAGTCTCCTTTCCTTCCTCCCTTTTTCCCTCCCTCCAATGAGCAGACCCTCTTCTGACTATTCCTCCATCAGTAAAGAGGACAATTAGCTCTTCCTTCAATGAGGTATACTGAAATATAAACCAGTTTATTTCCCCAAAGGGCACACATAGACCTCAGACAAGAGAGTGCTCAACCACAGAGACCCTCCCACTCACAGGCAGTATTGCACAGCATTTGCTTTTGTGCCTAATAATCAATGACAGAAGGTGGGAAAAAGGTGTGGGAGAACATGACTGCTGCTAGGGGCCTATCTGCTCTGTTCCAAGGACCAGAAAACAGCTCCTTTACCACAGACAGGCGAAAAAATCCTGCAACTAACAAAGGTATGGCTCAAAGAGAGCAGAAGCACTGCCGTCATCCTTTGGCAGGGCTTGTCTGTAATGGCACTGCTAAGCGAGGTGTCAGACAACCGTGAACACGCTCCCAGTCCCTGAGACATGGCACAGAGACCCACTGGGAGGAAAACCAATGTCTATGAGTGGTTGTGGAGGAAGATACTACCCAGAGGTAAGTCAAGCAGTAATTAATGCGGCTGTTCTGCAGCTCTGAAAAGCAAGTCTCCTTTGTCTAGGTGACTTAAAAGGTACACATCTTCCTGTGTCTCATGAGCAGAGGAGCATCTGGAGCCAGTGCTTCCAAACCTACCGCCAAAATAGGCTGTTCATGCCAAGCCTACCTACCACAAGCTGGTAGCTAATTCACACATCATTCAGTGCAACATTCTTTGAAGAGCCAGCTGTGTCAGTGGCAAGCCCCACAGTGACAAGGTAGCCTCTGTAGAGCAACAGGATCACTGTCACAACCGCAGCTCTTACGCTTTTTATACTAGTACTTCAAAGGAAATTTCACACCATCACTTTATTTGATTTTTCCATGTTGCTGTTTTCCATCTTCTAACCGGGAAGGCAGACACACCGGATTGAAGCATTCATGGGATGAGGTGATGAAGGGATGTAGTAACACCTGGACCTTTCATCTGGATATCTTACAAACTAGGTGACTGTGGAAGCCTTCACAGATTCACTTTAAACAGCCCTTAGTATTGCTCCAAATTAACTTCTTAAATATTTTTTTCCCAATCACCTAGAACCTTTAAAACAATCATTTTGTTTATTTAAAAGAGGTTTTTTTTTTTTCTAGCATGGTTTGGCAGAATAGAACCCAGCACATCTGAAAGAAGAGAGCTCTACAGAGGACTCATCAGTAAATGAACACGATGAAACCACTCCATAGTCTAAAAGTAACATTAATATTAGATACTAAAAGCTAGTATATAAGCAGTATATGCCAGCCCCCTGTGGTAATACCTGCAGGAGGGGCAGGAGGCCGGTGGCATCCCAGCTGGGTGTTTTCTGGGGATGACCTTAGGGGGCCTGAATAACAGATGAGATTCTGAGGCACACAGCATGACACATCACAGGCTGCCACTGTGCTATTTAATACAAGGGAAATAAACTGCTAATTTCCACAAGTTTGGGGGTCTCCTTCCCTCTTTCGTTTCAACCCTATTAACCAAGTGGATAAATGATGATCCCAGAGGAGAAATATTAGTACTGATTCTTCTCCCCTTCTCAACAACGTAAATTCAAGACACGTTCAGGTGAGAGAACAGAAACTGCTGTTAACTCCTGCTTGCCGGCATGCTGAAAAAAGGAACACAATCCTCCAAAATGCAAGTGCATTCGTGCTGCAAGTCCAGAGGAGGGCCATGAGGATGATCAGAGGGCTGGAGCATCACTGCTATAGAGACAGGCTGAAAAAGTTGGGCTTGTTCAGCCTGGAGAGAAGGCAGCTCAGGTGAGATCTTAGGGCAGCTTCCAGTACTTTAGGGCCTACAAGAAATCTGGAGAGTGACCTTTTACAAGGACAGTTAGTGGCAGGAAAAGGGGGATTGGCTTTAAACTGACAGATGGGAGATTTAGTATTAGATATTAGGAAGAAGTTCTTTACTGTGAGGGTGATGAGGCACTGGCACAGGTTGCTCAAAGAAGCTGTGGCTTTCACATCCCTGGCAGTGTTTAAGGCCAGGTCAGATGGGGCTTTGAGCAACCTGGTCTAGTGGAAGGTGTCCCTGCCCATGGCAAGGGTGCTGCAACTGGATGAGCTTTAAGGTCCCTCCCAACCCAAACCAGTCTATAATTCCATGATTTTAAGTTACTCTGTTTGCTCCTGGAGAACCTGAGGGCCTAACCCCGCTGTTTCTCAGCGCACACACTACCCTTGACACACCACAGCCTCGCGTTTGTGTCAGGCAGTAAGCGCTCCCAGAAACACTGCTGGCTTCACTCACAGGCCTCAGCTGCACTTCCACTTGCAGGGCCTGTGAAGACTCGCAGGCGCCTCACCAGCGCCACCACACGGCGGTGAGGTGCGGGGGCTGCGCTGCCCCGGCCGTGCCGTACCCGACGGGGCAGCCGGGCAGCGGCCGGGCCCTCCCTTCGCCTGCAGCGACACCTGCCGGCCCGCGTCCGGGACGGGCCGCCGGTGGAACGGAGCGGTGCGGGGATGCGGCACCGCTCCCGAGAAGGGTGCCTGTTTTCCTCCCCCTACTTTTTCTCTCTCTCCCCCTTTTCTACCTTTTCTCCCCCCACCAATTAAAGATGGCCGGGGGCACACAGGTCTAACACGGGCAGTGTCCACGCAAGCTCCCAACACTTGCAGAATTCTCTCAGTCTAGAAAGGCAAGCGCCAGGGACACACGGACAGACCGACCACATTCAGTCTGCATAATAATATAATTTCTCTCAAATAAGGGGGTTGAGGTTTCGGCAATCAAAAAAAATTACTGGGTTTTCATCAGACTGAAAGCTTGACCCTGGTGAGTGAGTGTGTGCAGAGGCTGCCTGCCTACCACAGCCTCTTGCAGCTGCTGGCTACGGCAAGAGCCCAAATGAAACAGATCCCATCACATACCTGGTGAAGAACCCCAAACCACACAATTCCAAAAACGGGCAAATTGCACAAACAATCCCCTGGAGACAGCAGCTGGTTAGTACATCTCGGGGTGCTTTTTTGCCGTTCCATCAACTTAAATAGAAGTCATGAATAGAGGCTATCCTGCCTGCTAGGTACATCCTGACTTGAATGTACAAATGGCAAGTACATCCAGAAGAGAAGAAGATGCAGGGGCTATGCAACAACTGATATTAGATATTAGCAACACAAGAATTGAGCCCTGTACTCAATCCACAGTGCAAGAGCTCCCTCTCAAACCTAAAACAGGATATATACCCATATCTGCCATTCTGGCAAGATACAAGTTTCCACCTTGCTCTTCATCCTCCTTGACGAGTTTGTGACAAGGGAGTTGCCACAGCCACACAAAAGTAAATTTGGCCAAGATCTGGTCAAGCTTGGACTCGGCTGTCTGAAGGAAGTTACAGTTCTGAACCCAACACTCCTGTCTACGCTCTGCTACTATGCCTGCTGTGTCACCAGCTCAGCATACCACCCCACCCTCAGCCAACTGTTTCTACATATTACCACACAACTTTGTTGCTCTCCTCCCAGCCTTGCAAGAACCCATAAACAGCAATTTATTGTTTTGCACAGGTTACTATGTTTTGCAGCTTTTAAGAAATAACTGACTTGCACAACGATTTCAAAGTTAAAACTAAAAAATACAAAGCTAGAGAGAAAACAGCCATAAACTGAGAAACAAAACACTGCCACGTAAATTGGTTTACTTTTATTCCCTTGTAGCTCCCAGAAATTTTCAGTAACAGATCAAACTAACTGTTCTGCAAGGCAAAGACAATATGGTAAATATAACGCCAAACACACAACAGACCTCACAGTAAGGCGAGTCTAAAACACACTTTAGAACATAATGAATACACATTTCCATTGTGTAACTATCTTTCAGAACAAAAGTTAAATTAATTTTAAGTAAAACAAAATGGGAGAATTTGAAGGTTTACATGCCAGGAAGTTTGCATGTCATTTCCTCCAAAATACATAAATGATATGTAGTTTTTATCATCTTATCCCTTTTAAATAAGGCCTTCTAAGAGCAGCCTTTCATATAAATCAACTTCCACTCTCTTATTGCAGGAATCACCTGCAGAGTGATTAAGCTAAAAATCACTTTAAGCTAAAAGGTGACAGGTTTTTGCTGTGTTTTTTAGGTATGTTGGCACTCCCAGAATCTGATATATTCACTATTCAATTCAGAAGATAACAATTCTAAGCAGAAACAGAACCTCCCATATACTCCTCCCAAGAGTGGAGAAAGTGCACCAGAAGTTGACTTCCTTCTGCTACACTCTCCAGATAAACAAGGATTCTAATTCCCCCACAGCAGCTACCAGTGAGGACTAACATTACATGAACAGTAATATGAAGAGACATAGAAGTTAGCAGGCACTTGCTTATCTCCTACCAGCTATTGTACCTGAAGAGGGAATTCTGTGTAGTGTTTGAATCTGTGACCTGCTAACAAGCAACTTTTATACTCCCTTATCATCACCTCTGTTTGCTATGATCCTCTCAATGGGTTGAAAGGGAAGAGCTCTGAATTTTCAGTGTACCAGACAACTGGCTCCTAAGTAAGAGATACCCATGGCAGGAAAAACCCCAAAGCATTAGGAAACTTTCAGTAACATCTCTCTTATAGCATAAACTATGGCAGGCATTAAATTCCAACTGCAAAAGAATTACATTGCTTCCCATGACCCAAGATCTGTACAGATTGCTTCTAAGCAGCATTACAATCAGGACACTGCCAGCTTTCTTTTCCAGAAATTTCAATTCATCATTATCTCATTAGTCCGGGAGCAGGCAGTCAGCTTATGCCTGACCATAGAGCCTCACCTAGCTTTTTAAATCAAGGTAATCTATGGCGTTTGCATTCCTATTCAGAGCAAGCCCTTCAAAAAAAGGGTTGCAGAATATCCTATTTTTATGGGCAACAAAAGCCATACCTGCAAAATTTTTACTCTAAGCTAGTATCTATTAGATATTTTCTTTTAGATGTCAACTTTCAAAACACAGATTTAAAGTTGTTGTGGATTTAATAATGTAGATTTCACCATCATCCCGTTTCAAAATGGAACTGGAAAACTCAGCAAGCAGCATCTGCCAGAAATCACGTGTTTATAGCATAGTCTCTTGGCACATTCTGACCGGAATATTATAATGTCTATCATCTTCAGTTATGAGAGTCACCACAGGCCAGTCCTTCTCTGGGTCATTGGGATAAAGTGTGATGAATTCATCAGTACTATATTTATACAGCCGATACACTTGGATGGTATACTGCAGAGCATAAGCAAGGAGAAACATTTCCACCTACATTGGAAAAAAGCAGAAATACGATGTGTAAAATTGCACATATCCTTTAGAAGATTTTTCTCATAGAAATAGTAAACTAATACCCATCAGATCTATCCATCCAACATCCATCAGGAAAAAAAAAAATGAAGAGTGTAGCTCTAGTTCAGTATCTTGATCATATACCTGTAAGACACCATACCTTTAATACGAAGCTCTTCAGACCCAATGGCGTAGTAGGATATTAGTCCTAAAGAAAAGCTGCTTCACACAGAGAATCCCACTTCCCTACTGCCCCAAAGAGGCGGAAAGACATTCTCTCACATCACTATTCATCCTGTTAATTCACTAAACCAAACAAGAACAAGTTTCAGGCAATGATCCTTTCCCTCTTATAGGCTACTCTGAATTCTCCAGCCAAATAAAGAGCAGATGGAAAGTCCTTATAAAGCCTGTTGATATTAGAAGGAATTCAGAAAAAGAAGCTGGAAAACAGTCTATCTTGTTTACTATAGTGGCAACTGTATCCCATTACAAATACTTTAAAAAGAGTAGTGCTGAAATAAATCTAGTCAGCACAAACACACAGACAACATTACTTATTGATTAAACGTGGCAGCAAAAAAGTCAACCAAGAATTGGTTACTTATTTAACAGTAACAGTAGCCTGTGTCATCTATACTACAGTCATCAGACTTTTAAGCCAGTAAACAGAAACAAAACATAGTACTTCCACATTTCTAGTGTCTGCAATTAAGTAGTGGATTTAACTTCAGTACCACACTTGAAACATCCTCAATAGGATCTTTTTAAAACAGATGTTTCTAAAATCTTTCTGGCTATTCAGCTCATTAACCACAACATTTTGGTTTGGGGCTTTTTTTGTAACATGCATACCATTTCTGCAATCTATAAGGCAGTAACTGCGATTAATTTATCAGAATTCACCAAGTTCATGTACTACACACCATCTTCTCTTCATAATTTGAGTATTAGCTTTTATCATAATATTTTTTAAAAAGCTAATGATTGAGACTATGTTACTATTAATAGAATAGCGTACGTCCAAAGGATGCTACCTAAGTGTCAGTTGCGAGACAAAAATCAGTGTTTAAAAGGAAGGCCTTTACATACTGTGGCATGTACTATGTTTTTCCAATAAAAGACCACACAGTACAATATTAAGTTTTGCCAGACCAATGAAAGTTTAGTGATTTATTAATCTACTTGAAACTAAAATCTCCAAAGCAGGAAAATAATAGTGTAAGAGCAATTTTTCCTTACTTGTTCGAGGCCTCCACTGTGACCGATATGATTCAAGTGATTATGCATTAACTGACAAGGGTTGCTAGATGTATCCCGTGCAAACAGTAACCATGAGAAGACAGGAACTCTCCTTCCATTTTTATCATCATTGTATAATTCAATGGCAGTGTTGAGCATCAAAAATTTCAGTGCTTCATAAAGACTGTATTCCTCCTCTTCATTTTTAAACAATTTATCACAAGCTTCTTGTTTCTCAATAGGACCCTTGATTTCACTGATATTCTTCCACTATACAAAAATAATACACAACATCTATCAACAGCAATCACTGTGCAAGAACTGCAAAAAGCTGCTTGTGAATTGTCAGATGTTCAGAGCAGGCACTCTGAATTTAACTCATAAAAGACTTTGTGCGTTTTTAAATACCACCAAGAATACTGCCACAGTTGTAGTCCTATCATGGTCAAGTTGAGATAAAGATTAATTCAAGCAAAGCCAGCCTAAGCAAAACAAAAGAAGAGGATGCTGGAAATTGTTGCAAGGCAGAAAAACCAACACTGTCATGGGACAATAACCACTAAGTTAATAACCTTTTTTACTTCCTGTATCATAAATTCTACATCCATCATATTCTTTACATTCCATTTACTCAGAACGCAGTATTTCATAGCAGCCCTCAAACTGCCTTTAAACATTCTTAAAAGCCTTTCACAAAAGAGAATATGCATACATATTAAGATAGGAACAACTGAAGAGTTTTTACATAGGTTCAAGTTTGAAGGGTTTGAAAGAGGTGGCTAGGTAATACAGCATGAACACTGAAAGGGCACAATCATTTTCCATTACCCGAGAACAAAAACCACATGAACATAGAACAAAACCTACTCCTTTGAAACTACTTCAACATTATGCTGTTGGTTTTGTTCACAGTCTGTTCAAGGCAGCAACAGCATTACCCATAGTATACATTGTTCCTTCAAATAAATACAAGAAACTGAGGCAAAAAAATGGTACTCTATTACATTTATGCCTTCATTGAAACCTGTTTAACTAAAAGCTTTATGCACAGCTGCTTACAGATTAATTCCAGCAGCAGCCTAATGCAAGCAGTGAAAGACCAGAAAACTCACACAGATCTATATATTCTTTCCTTAAGGAAATGATAAAGTATCTTTTTTTTTTTTTGCAGTATACATGAAGTGACTTTCACTACTGAAAGCTCTATTATGCTAAATTCACGACATTCAAAAAACTTAGTAATTTTTCCTATTTACAAGTGACCAATAATAAACAAAAAAATTCCCAACCTTTTTCCTTAGAAGTATTAAATAGTCTTTAATTTCATCGCTTATTTCTCCCATCCTCCTGCTCAGTTTCTGCTTTAGCTGCCATTGCTTGATCCAGTCATACTTGCTCATCAGATTTTCAGGAAGCTGGAAGTCGAGAGAAGGCAGCATAAGTCTAGAGTCTTGAAAGTAAAAGCCACCAATTGCATACTTTTATTGATTCTATTTTTTTTACATTTTGCACCTTAAAAAGATCCCTAAACCATCTGTTCTTCTAAACACATGTCACAATAAGACGGCCATAATTTAAACACAGCTGGCTCTATATAACACTTTCTGGATAACAGCCAAATACTGGTCTATTGCTTTATTTTTAATTAAAACAAAACTCCAGCAGCAGATGACACTGACCATGTTTGAAAGTGTCCCTAAACCAGGAGAAGAGAAGGTTAAAGATGTGATGATATCCACCAGATAATCTAGAACTCTCAGTGGAGTGTAAACTGCTTTGCCCAGAACACACAAACTGTGTTTTCTTTTCAGGGAACATAATTAAAACACTATGGGACAGGTCTTATTGTAAAGAAGAATACAACCTGGGCATTAGTTGATTGACAGATCATACTTTAGCCTTTGAACTGCCTCCTTTACGCTCACATGCTACACCTGCTCAATTAAAAGTTTTTACACTTATCTTGAAGGACATCCTGGCAGCTACATGCCCAGTTTATCCTCATTTATTAACCCTGGACAGCTAGCCTACACAGAGTCTGCATCAGACATTCATCATTTACGCTTCCAGCAGCAGTCTGGACAACTGGAACCTTACTCCCCTGAAGGGGGCCACTTTTGTATAGGAAGCTTCTTATATGTTTCCATGTTCAGCAATATCATCAAATAGACTTTGTTGCCACAAGACAATTTCTGGAATATTCTTCTACTTTTAGGAAGACACCTCACTTTGCTTATCCATCAGTGCTCTGTAAGATCTGTTCCTCAAATCAGGTTGGAGCTGTTCTTCCACTTATTTTAAGTAACATTTAAGAAACAGGTAATACACAGATTCTGGAAAGCCTACAACATCCAATTTGTTAATCTACTTCCTAGAGAAACCATATATGGCACCCAAGTAAATTTGGCACCCAATATGGCCCACATGCAATAAATTTGAAAACTTGTTGTTTTTCCAAACATGGTTGGAATAAGTTGTCTGTACTTTTGTTACTGCCAGCTGTATTGTGGAAAATACCTTACCGCCATATTACATGCAGTAAGAAGAACAAGGCAGCAAGAGGAAGGCAAAGAAGTTACATTACAGTCAGCACTATAGTTACATTTATACGCTACAAACTGGACCTAGACTCAATTCCAAGTTGGAAAAATCACTGTAAACAAATAAAATTCAACATTACCACTTTGCAGTTTACAGGTTATTATGAAGTGAGCATATACAGCATAACAAAGAAACAAGATCACAAAATCACAGAACAGGTTAGAACCAACATTCCTTTACTGTCAGAGATCAGAGCTTGACACGTACCATAGCAAAATTCTCACTCTGCAGCCACCTTGGTAACTGGGTAGCTTGGCTTAGTGCCTGGAAAAGAGTTGCTCTGAAAGCACAGTAGTTATCACCTCGTACTCTCCTTATAGATGCAAACTTCTGAGCAACTGCTTCATATCCCTAGGGAAAAAAAAAAAAAAAAAAACCAAAATCCAAATAACATAAAAGCATTAATAAAACATTTAGAGTCTTGCACTGGTATCATAAAAGATACAGTAATATTAGTATCCAAATGCTAATGCTATTAGGGAAAAAAATAGTTTGACCCACTACCCATTTTGAAAATTCAAAAGTGAAGCAATCATCCCTCTGTACTCAGCACTAGCGAGGCTGCACCTCAAATACTGTGTCCAGTTCTGGGCACCTCACTACAAGAGAGACATTGAGGTGCTGGAGAGGGTCCAGAAAAAGACAGCAAAGGTGGTGAAGGATCTGGAGCACAAGTCCTGTGAGGAACAGCTGTGGGAACTGGGGCTCTTTTAGTCTGGAGAGGACAAGGCTCAGGAAAGACCTATCACTCTCTACAACTACCTGAAAGGAGGTTGTAGTGAGGTGGGGGTCTGTCTCTTCTCCCAACAACAAGTGCTAGGCCAAGTGGTAATGGCCTCAAGCTGTGCCATGGGAGTTTAGATTGGATATTAAGAAAAATTACTGCATAGTTTATCAGGCATTGGAACAGTCTGCCCAGGGAAGTGGTGGAATCACCATCCCTTGAAGTGCTCAAAAACAGTGTAGATGAGGCTCCCACTGATATGCTTTTGTGGTGGTCTTGGCAGTCCTGGGGTAATGGTTGGATTTGATGATCTTAAATGTTTTCTCCAACCTAGTAGATTCTGTAATCATAGAATAGTTAGGGTTGGAAAGGACCTTAAGATCATCAAGTTCCAACCCCCCTGCCATGGGCAGGGACACTTCACACTTAACCATGTCACCCAAGGCTCTGCCCAGCCTGGCCTTGAACAGCGCCAGGGATGGAGCATTCAGAGCTTCCCTGGGCAACCCATTCCAGTGCCTCATCACCCTCACAGGAAAGAACTTCCTCCTTATATCCAAACTTCCCCTGTTTAAGTTTGAACCCATTACCGCTTGTCCTTTCACTACAGTCCCTAATAAAGAGTCTCTCCCCAGCATCCTTATAGACCCCCTTCAGATACTGGAAGGCTGCTATGAGGTCTCCACGCAGCCTTCTCTTCTCCAGGCTGAACAGCCCCAACTTTCTCAGCCTATCTTCGTATGTGAGGTGCTCCAGTCCCCTGATCATCCTCGTGGCCCTCGTCTGGATTTGTTCCAACAGTTCCATGTCCTTTTTTATGTTGAGGACACCAGAACTGCACACAATACTCCCAAGTGGGGTCTCTACTTACTCAATATATGTCACATGTAGTTTGTTTCTGCCTCAGGGAAAATTTTTGTTTACTCTGAAATATCTTAACACATGACTCAGCACACTTGTCCCCTCCCTGCTTTTCCTATTACGTACACTTTCAGCAGAAGCATTAGTGCTGAAATGTAACTTGTGAAATTCAGCTATGCATTTGTATTTCTCTTACTAATTTCTTGAAGGTGACACAGGGATATTTCAATTTATGGAAAGTACTTTTAGGTTTACTTGCATACCATTAAACTTTAAAACTGTGTTAAAAAAACAAACCAAACCAAAGAAGCCAACCAACCCTATGCTTTATTTTTTTACCATTCTAGTTCAAGACTAATTTAAGAAAACTAGCACAAAGCCTACAAAAAAAGAAAGAATCCAAGAAAAAATGAAGAAAAACTGAGCCTATTCATTAAAGTTCCCCATATTAAAAATCATGAATCCACCAACTGCAGTTACTTGCCTTCTGACAAAAAGTTCGGTGATCTGCTCTGCCATTTCAACAGCCCACAAAATTATCATTTTATGGTAATAAACCAAATCTAGAATTTCAATTGAAACCAGTAATGAAAAAGAGTATTAGTCAAAACCCTATGCTATCAACAAGTGGCCTTATTAAAAAACACATTTTGAACCAATATGAACAAAACCATCTTCCAGTTGTCAGCCATTTGTAAGAACAGACACTGGAAAACATTGCTATTGCATTGCCTGTTTTAAAGGTTGCTCCTATAGGAAATCAGCTACTAAACACACAAACGAAAGCAAAAGGCCCCAGGAAAATTCAACAAAAAGCAAACTGATACCTTTCTCATCCTTTTTGCTACTGGTGTATTTCCTCTCCATTCTTGTCTGCAATACTCCATGATGTCCATTTCAGGTGCAACACTTAGTTTATATTCTGTCGAAATAGAGTAAGTAACATTAGGAAGAGAACTATGAAACAGAACAACTTAATTTCTAAATGCACTCTCACTTTAACATTGGTGCCACAGGAGACTGGTAGCACTAAGTAATTAATAGTAGCCGAGAGGGGGGAAAAAATAAAAAAGCTTGCTCTGAAAATGACAAGTGAAGAAAAATAATTTTGTTCCTATCTTCCTCTCTTAACAAAATATTAATTGGCAAATAGTAGAAATTAGTTAAGTACTCATCATTTTCTTAGCAATCAGAAAAATATTTGTCAAGGCAGAAAGGTAACAGATCTTTCTGAAGAAGCCAGAAACAACGGTAGAAAGAGGAAGTAACAGTTTTCTCTTGGAATCCCTTCAGCTTTCATTCCAAAACATACAGCACTAAGGTTTATCAAGGGATCCCACCAACAGATGCTGCTATAACGACTATAAATCAGTAATTTTCAAACACAACACTCTTAACGTAGGCTATATTACTGCTTTCCAAAAGATTTACATACTCTTGTAAAATAATTATGGGGAAAATATACTAAGAGCAACTAGTTTTACATAAAACCTTTCATGAAATAAACTGCACAATGTATTCAGTCATGATAAGTAACTTCTAGTGCACACAGAGACATCTGTACACAAAAGTCCTTGGGAACAGGGGTGTCAAATCATCACAAATTAGTGCTATAAATTAGCATACAGAATTGTAATACTGTATTTGAAACAAGAAGTTTGAACATACCTGAAGAGCTTGTCCCACAAAGTAATTCTCTCTCTCTCTCTATTTCTTTTGCATCACGATACATGTCCTCCTCACTGCAAAAGCATCAACACATGCTTCATGTAATAGCACAAATCTTAGCCACCTACCTTTCCCCCCATTTTCAACCACCAGCAAAATACTTCTTTCTCCATTTTTTTCAACTCGGTTTAGTTTCCATTTATTCACCTCCCTCATATATGACAACTACATTGGTAACAAATCACTGCCTGAATTTCTTGCTGAGTGTAATGAGGCGACAGAGTACTGAAGTCCCTTTGTATCTGTAAATCTTACAGATAAATTCACGAAAGACACAAGTCAAGATCCTATTTGCTGAGTATACAAATACTACAACCTACGTGCACAACTAAACACATTAATTACCAGAGCTTTGTAGCTATGCTCCACCGACGCTGAGCAACCTCCCTAGTAACAAGCACAATACATGACAGAATATCACAGTGAAAAGTAGCCAGTTATCTGCAGATGGTTTGAACATTACAAACTCACAGACATCAAAAATTCTCACAATCCAAACTGCAGCCTATAGGCTTACTGAAATCCAGACAAATATTTCCTCCTTGAATAAGATGTGCTTTTTTGCTGTCTTAAGAGTCAAATGTCTCCATCTAAGCCTATACACAGAGATTCTTAAGTCAAGTTATGACCATGAGAGAGGAAACGATGGCATAAAAGGATATCATTTCTATGCAAAGCCTAGCATTATCAAGAAAATGATCTCAAAGACAGGATGTGAACATTACTGTTGAGAATGGAGGTTCATGGAATGTTAAAAAACAAATAATAAACTGCAGATTCCTTTAAACATGATTCTGAGTGGCATGTCATACAATCACCTCTACCAAATAACTAAGACAGGATAAGCAGTTATGAGTGCAAGAAAGGCTTTAATGCAGCCAGCTGGTAATTAATTACTCCCATTAAACTTCAAAGACTACATCAGTAAATCATGGCTCTGTATTTCTTCTCATCCAAACCAGCTTACTTAAAAAAAAAAGATAACATTTCTAACCCATTTGCATACATTTCCCTTGAGAAGTATGAAGACAAATATAGATTAATATCAGGAAAATTTAATGTACTGTGCAGTCATATGAGACTAGTTTTTACTCAAGTTTCAAACCTTTACCTGTCAAACCAGGCTTCCTGGATGCTCAAGTAGCTGCTTGAAATCTGACTCATAACAATACTGCATAATATTTAATCAAATGAGAAACAACAGATGCAGTAGATATTAAGCACAGGACTTCATAAAAAGAGTACTACATGCTGAGAAGTAAAATCATAGCACTACTTATCCCAAGTCCTTATCCTTGTTACAGTGTGCCACTGGACAAACCCTAATTTGCATGTGTAATCTCATTTCTCAGCAGAGATTAAGGCTGATTAAAGTTTGTGAAGAATTTCAGGAATGATTAATAACTTTGAAAACACTGAAATAAACCCAAACTCCTCAGTATTTGACAGCAGCAATCTCTAGCCTAGTTTATCTATAAGCTAAGTATTTAAAATATAAAGCAACAAGGTCCTCTCCGACCATGAACAAACCTGCTTCTACAAGAGATCTCACAGGAGGTGGCAGGGCAGGGGGAAGCCTTACTTAAGGATACATCCTCAAATACATTAGGTTATAAGGCACAAAGAGAAAAAGTGCTCAACTCAATAAACTAATGAGGTTACTTGAGAAATAAGCTTGGTGTAGAGCAAGCAGTGGCATGCTCCTCCGCAGTATTACCTCATCTTCTTTCTGGGAGCTTACAAAAGAGAACCTGTAGATCCAGAACCTGACAGATCAACATCCAGCGTGACAAAGTACTGTAATTTAACTAAGTTTTGAAATCAAGGTACAATCCACCTGCCCAGACACTCTCATTTCAGAATTGAAAGTGCATCTTAATATTGTTCTAGCAAAGAATACAGTTAGGTAAAACTGTGGAAGCAAGAACGTGGAAACTTAAGCCTTTTCCTTTAATCTTTACATTAATATTTAACAATAGAGTGAAAATAAAGCAGACAGAAAAGAGTAATTAAAGGAAAACATACATGCACAAAATTAAAAAAATAAAAACCATTGCACCACCAAAAAAAACCACAAACACCTACCTAATAGTCTGAGATGACAGCAAGCACAACTAAGCTAGACAGAAGGAAAAGGTCTATGGGCAAAACACAGTTTTACATATTTGCCCTAAATACCCTTAACTGGCAAAAGAAAATTAATAAACTATAAAAATAAGGTGGCCTTCATAGTTCAAGATCTTATATTCAGACCTGTTTCACTAACCCTCTAACATACATGAAATTTTGCCAAGAAATTCACTTTCATGAACTGAAAGCACCCCTTCCTTTCTACAGAAAAGCTGCTGATATACATACATTAAAAATAACCCTCACCTGTCCTCAGATGACTCCACTGCTGAGCAATTACTAGACATAGGTAGATACAGTTCACAGTTTCTAAATGCATCATGATCTGTCACAAGGGATTTAATGATTTCTGTCTTCTCAGGTCTCTCAGTGTTTCTGTATACATAGCCCTTTCTCAACTCCGATGGAGATTGCTCTTCATGGTAAGCAGCTGCTTTTGTTGAATCAAGCTCATCAGAAGGAACAGGAACACTCACTTCCCTTTCACACTTCATCAGCTGTGTGGCAACACTCACTCTTTTCAGTGTTTGTTCTGCATCCACAGGAAGGCCGGTTGGTTCTGTCATCCACCCTTGAAAATTATCCTGGCTTTGAAGATTGAAGAAATATATGAAGAGTACCTCTGATAAAGAACAAGGGTACATGCTTTCAGAATATTATATATCCTGAGAACTCAGAGAATACTTAAATTATTCAAAACCGGGAACAAAAATCCAGACTAGTCTGGTAAAATAACACAGCACCCAGGCTATTTCCAAACTCATCTCTTTGGCAAGCCACTATATAAATATGGTCACCTCAGCACTGATACTCTTAATACCCACTATATACACCTTAAAACCCTAGAACATGGTACCGTTAAAAGCCTCCGACCTGCCACAAACCTCTCCTTCCCATTCCTCACTGTCCTTTCTTGCTAGAGCCCTGCTAGGTACCAAGCTGTCCCACAGAGAAAAGCTCGAAAGAGATTTGTAGTCCTTCCTCTTCACTCCCGGCCCCGCTCCCTCGAGAAGGACAAGCCAGACCTTGCACAGCAAACCACAAACCGCACCGCCACATCGAGCAGGGCAGCTGAAGCCTCGCTCACCTTTCCGCTACCCTCCGTCCGCCCCGACACCGGTCGCCGGGGCCGTGTGGGGCAGACAGCGCGCCACCACCCGCCCGCCGCTCGCCGCTCATGCCGGGGCTTGCTGAGGAAGAGGCCCCCGCTCAGGGAGCACCTCCCCGGTTGCAGCGGCTGCGGGCGCGCACGGCACGCTCATCGCCAACACAGCGCTGGAGGACGGAGCGGCGAGCCCGCTCGGAGCCGCGGCAGCTTCGCGCCTGCTTCCGCGTCGCCAGCCGCCGAGCACCCTCGGCATGTGCGTCATCACGCCGGAAATAACGTTTCTACATGCCCGCGCTTCCTTCCTCCCCTCTGCTCAGCAGCTGTTATGCCGAGGCGCGGCGGGGCTCAGCCTCTAGCGCATGCGCGTCAGTGGCAGGAGGAGCGAATGCTGCTCCCGTGTCTACGGCTATGGGCGTGCTGGTCTGGCGTGGGGCGGGCGGGTGAGACCAATGCTGGACGGCGGGGGGGGGGGATGTTGAAGAGGCATGTGACTTTGGTTAGCGCTGAGCCCGCTACCCTCGGACCTGCCGCAGTGGCCGCCTGGGAGGGGCGGTGTTGGAGCGGGTATACGCCTGTGGGAGCGAAACCTCGCCGCTGAGCTGGGCAGAAGCGACCCTGCTTCCCTGTGGGCACCGCAGCCGATGTACGGCTTAGCGAGGGGCTCTGGGCAGGCTGGAAACCTAGTGAGAGAATAAATGCTAAACCTTTTGAAATTAAGTACTATGCAGAATTAAGCATACCCAATGCTATTAAAAACGAAATACTGAGAACAGCAAAAAGTAGGAAAGATGTGCTGTGGTAGAAAAAAGACCACTGAAGTCTGAGCATTTTGGAGGGTGTTTACCTTGAAAATTAGCCAGAAAATGGAAAAGTGTTTGTCTTTCTGGCATTTCACTCGTAAGAATATGTTGTCTCTGAGCAACACCAGTGATGCTAAGACTGGGGGGAAATAACTACAAATATGCTCATCCCAAAGGAATTTGAATTAACAGTGATAAGTAATTTGCAACATCCTGAAATTTTGAAGTCACATAAAACTGATGGACAGCTTTGTAAAATCTCATTGTTTGAACAACTGCCTGATGGATGGGTTTGTCTCAGAATGCATTCTTGTTTCACACTGGCCGTTAAAGAATTATTGGTGGTTGAACAGCTAGTCCACTTGAAATATAACAAACTATTTCCCATGTTCCTCTAATTAAAATAATTCAGTATGAGTAGCATTTAATAATCATTACAGTTGCAAAATTTTTAAGATTAGGTTCTTTCTTTGTTACCCACATTTGCCTTTCTCAGCAACTTTATGGACTGGGTAGCCATTTCACAACCCTTCAGAGAACTACAGAGCAGAATGGTTAAAAATTTAAAGCTTTAAACTTGCAACCTAGACCTAATCCTTCTTGAGGAGCAAAGTAGTGTGCAACAAAATGACACTGCAAAATATGTGAACTGTACCCGAATTACAAATTAAATTTGCAAATTCTATGCTTGCTCTCTTTAGAACTGATTCCTTGTAACAGAAAGCTCCTAAATAGCAATTTGTATTTCCTTTCTCAAGAATTACTAGATGAAAACCATGCTATGATGTCAGATAGGCACTGAAGCAAGTTAAGGAAGCCTGAGGCTTCATCATGCTGTAAAGCAAGGGAATGTCAGCTTAAATTACATGAGGGGTATGTGCTTTGCTAGGCTTGAGCACCTTAGTTAAGTGAATCTTCTGAGTACAATAACTTAAAATAGATTAGATTAGATACTAGGAAGAAGTTCTTTACTGTGAGGGTGGGGAGGCACTGGCACAGGTTGCCCAGAGAAGCTGTGGCTGCCCCATGCAGTGTTCAAGGCCAGGCTGGATGAGTCTTTGAGCAACCTGTTCTAGTGGAAGACGTCCCTGTCCATGACAGAGGGTTGAAGCCAGATGATCTTTAAGGTCCCTCCCAACTCAAATCAGTCTATGGCTCTATGATTTCAGACTGCATTACAGTAATGCTTGCCGTATGAACTTAAAGAAAAGGAAAAAAAAAGGAAAAAAATAGGTGCAGTCTTTTTCATTTGGCATTTGTCTGCTTATAGATTGACATAACCCTCATGGCTTATGTCAGTCACATGACTAAAACATTTTTTCTTCATCACAAAAAGACCAAAACTAAGTACCCAAGTGAGTGATTTTCCTGATAAAAGTTTGTGTTTGCATTACCTGAAAAATATCCCAGATATCATTAGCTGAATAAATAAATCTGACAGAAAAGTCTCTGCCCAATGCTCCCCACACAAGAACAAGGAGAAAAGTGCATAATCTTCAAACTGGATATATTCCATACTTGAAATGATTCAAGGTGATTCAAAGGAACGTGTCAGTCCAGCCTTTGTGTAAATTACTTCTAAAAATTGTGTTTCTCTCTGCCTCTTGTAAACAACACATTGGAATCACATATGAAGTTTATTTTCTTAGCAGGGGGGTATTTTGGTGTTGATATGTAGTAGATATACCAGATATATACTAACTGGAAATAATTGAAAGTTCCATGACACATTTCACAAGATCAAGTGTGGCAAAAGAATAATGTATTAGTCATTGCCTCCCAGGCTGCAGAAATTCAAAGAATAGTTTTAGCTTGCAAATATAAAACAGTGTCTTAGGAACTGAATGCTGTAGGGTTTTTTTACAAGTACTACCAAGTTAAAAAAAAACCAAAAGGACTTGAGCACGAAGTCCTGAAGTTTACTTTCTAAAGACTGTGGCAATGATGAACTGGGTGTTTTTTTCAATGATGATCCATTTTTAAACAGATTTCTCAAACCAGAGAGACTGCTTTATGATTTGTCTGTTCATTTCCATGTTCTATGTGTAACAAAACAAATTAGTCTTCTTTGCTCAAAGTAGGTAACATTTCTGAGCAACAGACTTACATAAACTAAGTGCATTAGATGAAACAGCAATGCAGTGTTTACTTTTTTTTGCACACACCTGCTTCCAATATTTTGCACTGATGTTTGAGAATAATGTTAATCATAATTACTTTCATTTAGAGCTTGGGCTGTGCGTGATCACCTGTATCCACTGACAGACAATGCTGTATTTTCCAACAGTGGACAGTTTCCCTTTGCAAAGTCTTCAGGGCAGAGGTACTGTCTTGCTTTTCAGTATTGGCAAATAATAAATATATGTGCACAAATTACAAAAATACTGAAATTACAGATGCTAAGAAGAGGATTCTGTTGAATTTCTGAAGTTAGTTTGAAAGAAAAATGTTGACATTCAGAAAAAAGTCATTGTGTATTGAGATCAAGCAAGATAGATGTATTTATGCAGAATAAAAAATGCAGCAGGTTTTGACTCTTGTTGAAGATATCAAAATAATCACTTTACTCTTTGTGGGTTTTTTTGAGAATGGGGCTTAAGCAGAATTTAGACATGCAAACCCAAGATATTTGTATTTTTCCCAAAGCACCTAAAACTTGTATTTTCAAACTTCCATCTGCAAAGTCAGTAGAAAGCTAAATATCACTGAAGCCTACAGCCAAAGACCAAAGTCAGGCCCTTTGTCCTGCAACTGATCTATTAATAGTTCAGATTATTGCACTTAGAAATCTAGCTCTCCTGTTGCCATGATGTCCCATGGGAAGGCTGTATAGTTCCAGTAGCTGTGGGAGAGAAAAGATTTAGCCTCCTATCTGAAAACGAAATTGAGATTTTCAGTTCTCAACCCCAAGGTGCCAAGCTTAAGCCTGCAAAACCATATGTGAATGAAGATCAGTGAGCAATTTATTGTAATGCAATTCTGTGTTATAATTCACAGATTTGCAAGAACATATATCTGGGATGCTGATTCAAACTGGAATGAATTCAGTGGGGTTTACTTATTACTGTAAACTCCCCATATCCTTCTGTAAGTTTAAGGTACAACTGTTCAACTTTATCATTACAATAAGAGCATGTATCCCAGTCTAGATTTTAAAAAAATCATACAAACAGCAAAAAGTGCATTAGTAGATACCCAAACTGAAGAAAATATTGCCGTTTAATATAATTTTGACCCGAGCATTTAGAATTCTGTAACTATTTTCTCTGGGCTGATACTGTGAAGAGGTGACAAAGCACAGAGTGAAAGAGCAGCAGCATATGGTACTTTGGGATTCTGACTTCTTCAACTTAGGACTGAGTTAAGTATCTTTGCAAAGCAAAACCTTTTAACCTGGAAGACTCTGAACGAGTTACATGCATACAGAGTGATAAAATGCATCAATGTTCATTTCACAGTGTTATATAGGAAGCTAGACCTTGGTTCCTGACTGACATACACATTATTCGCTTCAAGACTTTGTTTTATTTTATTATTACTGTTTGCTCTATTATTGCTGTTTATGAGGACAAAGTGGAATGTTCAGTCTTTAAGTTTACAAGTAAGAAGTTTTTCTTACTTACGGTTTCATTTGGATTAGGTTTTTTATTCATTTTACCTAAAGTAGCATTAGCATCCTTTTAAAAGTTCATGAAAATAACAGACATTCAGTGTAGTACAAAAGCTCGTATTTTGTAGATCTCAAACATTTTTTGTACTTGGTACTTTCTGGTAAAAGATGGTAGCAACTCAGACTTTGATACAAAAAAAAAAACCACCACCACAAACACTGTGAAAAAGAATTTTGAATGCTCTTACCTTATTTAATGCATTTTGGTGCTTGCCAGCAGTTGTCTTTTTTGCCAAACTAATTACAGTGCACTACTCAAAAATTGCTCCAGAGATTTCAGGAGTACGATTAGAAAGCTTTGGGTCATCAATTCTGCTTGTGACTATAGGGGAATACCATTCAGAAGGAAATAGATGGGGAATACCATTTAGAAGAAAATAGATGGGGAAAACCCACCAGTAAAAGTCAATGGCCAGTACAGTATCCATTATATACTTCTCTAATTACGTATTTCTTGGGTGGGTTTTTGTTCTCTAGCATCCCTGAATTCGATAGTTTTGAGAGGTGTATTCTTAGATATATCTTCTACTATATTTTACTAAGTGAGCTCTAAATTGGCATGCTGCTGCCTGTTAAGCAAAAACGCAGTTCCAGTATGCTATGTTCCTTTTTAAATGGCTGTGAAAAATATGTAGGCTGTGGCTTTGGTGCAGTGGGTGGGTTTCTTCAGTCCCCTGAACAGAAAATGGAAGGTGTGAAAAAAAAGTCA